GACTTAGTCTCATATATGTTGGACATGTTATCAGGAAGACCAGTCTTCAGAAAAAGATATCATTCTTGGTGAACCGAAAGGGCATCAAAAAGAGGTAGATCCTTGACAAGACAGGTTGATACAGTGGCAGCAACAGTGGGCTTACATTTAAACACAATTGTGAGGATGGGGCTGGATGGGGCAGAGTTTCGTTCTGTTGTACAGAGGAGGGTTGAGTTAGAACTGACTGCACAGTAACACATACACTACGGTTATCCTTACAGTGTGAGGCTTGCAGTAACAGAGGGAAATATCTACGTGACAAGTCTTAAGATTAAAAAGTAAAACTAAAAAGTCAGACTGAGACCAGAACAACAGTGGGTGGCACCTGGAAAGAGAGGTTCCCCGACAATAGATGCCTAGCGTGACACTGGGGTCTGGAGACTGAGCCTCCAGGTTTGAGAGCTATGGTGGCCATGAGAGAAAGCCCAGGATTGAATGCGTAAAGACCATAGCCTACCAGCAAACTCTTAAATAAAAAACATTAGCAGGGGGTTATTTGTGGGAAAAGCCGTGCATCATGGCGAGTTTGATTTACCCTGGGGAGCTTGGGAGTTTAATGTTAGAAAAGATGAATAAATGTTAATAACGAAGGGGAAAGTCTACCAATTCAATTAAAAATGCACACCTTACAGAGGCACCCTGTATTCTATCAAGTGCTATTTGATAATAGGCACAATCTGTTCCTTTATACCTTTGATGGCGAAGGTGGCACAGGTCCGGACAGCTTGTGGTTCTGTTGTGAGGTCACCTGGACTGCAGTCAACTCCTCCTCAGCGAAGAGCGACACCCTTGATTCCAAAACAGCAGCTGCGGGGGTACACGGTAGGAAAATGCATGTGTGGTTTGGGGACATGGAAGATTTTTTTTTTTTTGATTAAAAAATAATTTTATTAGGGGCTCATACAACTCTTATCACAATCCATACCTACATCCATTGTGTAAAGTACATTTGTACATTCATTGCCCTCATCATTCTCAAAACATTTGCTCTCCACTTAAGCCCCTGGCATCAGGTCCTCATTTTTCCC